ATCTGTGAGGGTGACCAAGAACAATCAGTTGTGATATACCACTTTGGTCTTCTCCACTTTTAATTTTTAAAATTATTATTATTGTAAAGTAGTTGATCCTTTCACGTAAGATGTCCGATACAGTGGAAATCCTTTAGAAACTCATGAACTAGATACTTAAATTGTGTTCACCAAAGGTAACGCCTTAACATGTGAAACTATTTAAAGTTTGTATTTCTTCCTCTGAAATATGTCTGATGAACACAATTCTGATATAGACATTCTGATAAATGTTTGTACATTTTAGGATAACCATTGCCCACTTTAGTAGCCATAATTATAAAGTGGTGGTAATCTGGATTTTCCCCCTTTCTTTACATTGAAAGTAAACCAATCCATAAGGTATTATACAGGATGGTATGTACAATTGAGGTTAATTTATAATTATAATACTCCCCCCCTCCATAACCTCACAAGGCACACACTGGTCATAAATTAAGGGTGAACTCACAATATAATGATCTTTTTCCGTAAAGAAAGCTAGCCGATCGCACCTTATTTGTGGCTCTCTTTCCCATTTAGCTAATTAACCATTTAGTCTAAAATAAGCTTGTGTTTAAAGGGTGTTGTCCTTATATCAATTGTTTGCAGAGGTGTGTTTTGACTTCAGAATCCATAAGATAACAGTTCCCCACCACAGCCTATGGACTGTTTGATTATCAGTCTCTAAAAATGAAAATGAAATGACGAGGAGATTTACTTTTCAGGCCCAAAAGCTTTTATAGTTAGATTGGTTGTTTTGAGTGGTCAGTTATTCATTTTCAGCGGGTGGAGAATGGCAGTGTAGCTGAAGCTGTATTGTTTTGATACACAGAGAGGCCAGAGGGAGACCTTATCTGTAAGTCTCATTTTCAACTCTATCAGTTCAAACATAGTTTACAAGGCCAACATTAAACTATGAAACAGGGCAAATAGTTTTTAATGTATATGTGACCTTTGCTGCATGCTAGAGTTGAAATATAGACAACGCCACAGGTGGCTTCTTTATTTTGATAATGTACATGGACTTGCCACTCACAATGTTTTATTGTTAAAATGGAGGAACTTTTGAATATGAATTAAAATTTACCCTGCTTCAGAGCTTACAGATCCTTGTGCACTGGACGTTCTCCCCTCGTCATCAGTGACTCAGTGGCGTCATATGTCCGGCATTATAAAACGCCCCACGTCTCTCTCACCTGCCCTGACTGCCCCAGACTTACTCACAGCGGGATAGGGGTTCGTTTGTCTATAGTAGCAGTCGTCACGCGTAAATTACGCACGTGCCATTTTCTAATTTCAACTGAGGGTAACATTACAGGTTTTCTTTTATGAATCTGGCAAACTATTCTTATTACTCTGGCATGTGCAACATGACTGCAGAGAATCAACACTCTCCCGCTGAGGCCAGTCCTGTTGTCATGTCTCCAAACGTGAGTTTAGACTCGTCTCTGCCTCCCGCGCCTTCTGCGCTCATGCTGCAGCCTCACTCCAAAGACAACATTCTGATCAAGTCTGAGCCCAGAGGCAGCAGCCCCAATGTGGAAGATGCTTCTGCTCTGGGCCAGACCGAAGAGAATCTGCCCACTGGGAGCCGCCGGAGGAAGAGGCCAGTCCAGAGAGGAAAGCCCCCTTACAGCTACATCGCCCTCATTGCTATGGCCATCGCCAACTCTCCAGACAGAAAGCTTACTCTGGGAGGAATCTACAAGTTCATCATGGAACGCTTTCCTTTCTACAGAGAGAACTCAAAAAAGTGGCAGAACTCCATCCGCCACAACCTCACGCTCAATGACTGCTTTGTGAAGATCCCCAGAGAGCCGGGCAGACCTGGAAAGGGCAACTACTGGACCCTGGATCCCGCTGCTGAAGACATGTTTGACAACGGCAGTTTTCTGAGGAGGAGAAAGAGGTTCAAGCGCACAGATGTGAGCACTTACCCAGGCTATATGCAGAGCTCCAGTGCCTTCACTCCCACTCCAATGGCCAGAACCACCTACCCCAACACGCTTTACGCAGGGATAGGCTCGGGCTATGCACCCCAGCATCCCGCTATGCTGCACCATTACCAAACATCTGCTTCTGGGGTCGCACCTGGTCAAGCGCGCATGTTCAGCATTGACAACATCATCAGCCAACAACCTGGGCAAGGCGCGGATTTGAACTCCCAGTTGGCTCTAGGAGGAGGCGAGCTTGGTGCTATGAACCCTGGTTGCTCTGTAACTCCCACGGACCCATCAGCATGTTTTCAAACTCAAAATACCAACATATTAAACAGAAATAGTACTAACATCTCGTACCCATATTCCACTACAGCATCGCCTCCAAACCTTCCCACTATGACGCAGTCAGGCTTCTCGCCAGGGGGCTCACAGGTGTACTGTTCTGCCAACAGGGTTACACTGCCCCCAATACGCTCCAGCTCATGCGCCGAACACACGGAACAGCTACTGGGATTGACCAATATAAACTCTTACAATAATTCGTATATGAGACAAGCCAACTTTGCCTCGGGTCTTGAAAGATATATGTAAAAAGAACTTAAAAAGAACTGATCTATTTTGGTCAATGCATATTTTGTGATACACAACATGTGGGTGTAAAACTGCTCTTTGTATTTTGTTACCTATTTATAGTTAGCTATAACTAAAATTGTCAAGCTGAAATAAAGATATTTTCAAATTCTTTGAATTACTTGTTGATTAATGCTACTTAGCTCGGTTCATTCTGTGAGAATGAATACCACTTTAAATAAGGTGGATCATGTCATAGATATGTCTATGAGCTGTTGGCTTATAAATGGTGTTTTGCAAAAATATTAAGTTTTTAAGACTGGGATTCTAAAACACAATTGGGAGGGATCAGGGAAAGCAATGGAAAAAAAAAAAAAAAAAAGAAAGGTACCAGGTATTGCATAATTTTACCACTAGAGGGCAGAGATTATGGCCTTAAAGTATTAAGACATAGTTCCTAACAGCCTGCAGTGCAGTCCAAACGAACTAGTGAAAAATAGAATAAAGGTTAAAAGCCCTCTGTATTCTTCACCCTGACCTTAAACTTCACCAATAATTTTAGTGGTCAGTGGAGTTGTGTTGGTTTGGTGCAGAATGGAAACACAGCCAGGCAGCATCTCAGTGAATGTGAAACGCTTTGAGAGGCATTTTTAGTCTTACAAAAGTTGACAGCTTTGGAAAGCCTCAGTTGAAATAATGTGTATCCTATAGGTAAAGATACACGAATTTGTACCTAGATGTTTTCGCTTAGTCCAAAATGTTCCACAGTATGCCATTAAACGTATCTGTCTCAGTGGCCGTGACGCGGTAGACCAAGTTACAGGCTAGATATGTGGAGAAGAGACCCCGAATTTATAGGTAATAAAGCACCCGTTTATGGGGACAGACCACCTGAAAGTTATAGACGAGTGCGCCTTAGCAAACAAAATCACAAATACATAATTAGGGCTACAGGCTATATTCAATAAATAGGCCATTAGGCAAGATTCATAGGCAGAAAAACATGCGTGGTTACGGTTTAAATTCAAATGAAAACATTTATATTTAATTAAATTAAACCGCCTTGAAATAATTTACAGGTCTATTTCTGTTTTACAAAACGCATCCATTGGGAGGCGCTTCAGGACTAAAAACAACCCAAGGGATCAAAAAGCGTAGCCTAATGCTACTGTACCACTAACAGAAAGACCTTGGATCAAATTTGTTACATTATTTTATTATTATATTCTGTTAATAATGCAGCCCTGCCAAATAAATGTTATCAGCAAAATATAGTTTATATAAATTATTACATAAGACAGAGCCTTTTATTGATTCAAGACAAAGACTGAAACAGCCTGATAAGGATGGAGAAAAAAAAATTAAATAATGAAACACAAACCACAAAAATAACTGGTGCATTTCTAAATTGTCTCTCAAAGGCTCAAAAGGTTAATTATTATAGCAGCACTGTATGGATCAGCTGTACCAATACGCTGTGTCTAAAGCTCTGTGCCATTTGTTCTGGACTTGAAGGTCTGGTAAGGTTTTAAGGGACACTTTATATATATATATATATATATATATATATATATATATATATATATATATATATATATATATATATATATATATATATTATATTATATTTATTTATTTATTTATTTATTTATATGCCCGCATATACCTTTACCTATGAACACCTCAAATAAAATTTTGTAATGGATTAATCTAGGCTAGTTTATCTTAGCTCATCTACAACGGTCTACAGCGTCGTCAATTATAGGCCTTACTTGTTAAAAGTTAAGCTTCTTATTTGTGGTTAAAAGCCTATGATAAGCTTGTTCTATTCTTTATTATGGTTTGCTTGATTGATGAAAACAAACAAACAAACAAAAAAACAACAAAAACAAAAACAGGCGTATTACTGCTATTTATAAATCCAGTTATTTTAATAATTATGATTCTATTTTTTAAGCTCAGTCTATTATATTATTAGGCTATATTTATAGTTTGAATGGTTTTCTATAAAAGATTCATTAACGTCTCACAGAAAAAATATATACATAATCTTAAAATAAAGTTTGATCATTTTACTGGAGATGGAATTGTTTCTGGTGAAAGGAACTCTGGAACCACGTGACCTATTTGCTCCTATAAATACCTTTGATGGGGTAAAGTGGACAGTGTGACAGTGCGACTGGATACTCGCCCAATCACGTGCGTTAGAAGACCTCAGGACAGAGACTGATACAGGAGGAGGCATCTTGCTGAGCACAGTGGAGGTTCACGCTGCACAAATCCAGACTCTTAACTGCTAAGAATTTTGCAGTTCAGAGCTTCAGTCGAAACGCAAGTAAGAAAGAGCCATTTTCATTCATTCCGCCTGTGCCATGTGTGAGTCCAGCTGAAGGTGGTCTAAAGACGCAAAGGGGGAGGTCCAGTCTCAGTTGCAGCTCGCCCCTGAGCAGAGCAGGAGGAAGTGTGGGCCAGAGGATCGCAGCAAAGGATGACTTTAGGAACGGATATGTCCGACAGCTCTGCTTTGTCCGAGGATGTGGACATCGATGTGGTCGGGGGTGATTTATCTGGGAAGGACGGGAAATACCTCCATCACGACTTCAACTTGGACAATGACTCGGACGATAACTACTCACACAACGCGGCGGATGGCGTTCCCTCCCCTGGACATAGCGGCTCGGAGTGTCCCCCGGACCAGATGGGCTCCAGTTCGGGTGCAGGCTCTGGAGTAGGCGACAACAAACTCAGAAAGAACGCGTTGGTGAAGCCGCCGTACTCCTACATTGCGCTCATCACTATGGCCATCCTGCAAAGTCCTAAGAAGAGGCTAACTTTGAGCGAGATCTGCGAGTTCATAAGCAACAGGTTCCCATACTACAGGGAGAAGTTCCCTGCGTGGCAGAACTCCATCCGTCACAACCTCTCCCTGAACGACTGTTTCGTAAAGATCCCACGCGAACCTGGAAACCCAGGAAAAGGCAACTACTGGACCCTTGACCCAGACTCGGCTGATATGTTCGACAATGGGAGCTTCTTGCGCAGAAGAAAACGCTTCAAGAGGCACCAAAGCAATGAGATCCTCAGAGACGCGGGTGGGTATCTTCCTGGCTTTGGATACGGCCCCTATGGATACAACTACGGACTCCAGCTACAAAACTTCCACCACAATCCTTACCACTCACATCACTCAAGCGCTTCGTTCCCTTTCCCGGGCACTTCACCATGCACCTTGCCTTCAGCTTCCCTATTCCCAGCTCCGCATCCTCTACCCTCTATTTTAAGTGCTAAACCATTCTATCCCCAGTTAAGCCCATCTTTGCCCCATCTTAAGACGGACAGCAGCCCACCGAGCCGGCCTTCCTTCTCAATTGACAATATCATCGGCGCGACTAATTCCAGCGGCTCCGCGTACAGCGCGCCGTCAGGCGGACAGGCGCACATCCTGGCTATGTTGACACCAACTCTGGCCTCAGCCTCTGGACATTTGAATCTATCGCAGGACAGTGTTTCATCAGGAACACAGACTCAGACATTTGCTAGCAAAAGCCCCAACGTCAACACTTGCCCTTTTTAAAATAAAAAAATAAATAAATAAAAAAAAGCAAAAACATTTAATAGCCCTGAGCAAGTTGCATCGCGTGAAGGTAGGACAAGCACTCTGAAGACTTTTTCTTCTCCTATAGTTTCAGTATTTGGAGAGGAGATTATTTATAATTGTAAATTTGTGTATAATAGAAACAAGAAAGAAGAGGACGATAATGTCTTCTTGTTTTAGGTCTTTGGCATTTGTCTTAATGGATATTAATATCCTATTATTTAAAGCTGACATCCTATAAGGGGTGCTTTATAACACACACGAGAATAATATGTGGTGATTTATATTGTTTCCTTCATGTGCGTTTTGAGAAAATGGCACTGCTATTGTTGACATAAAGAGACGGTAAACTCAGGTTTATTATTGAAAAGCACACAAGGAAATCAAAGGGATTCCGCGCACCAGAATATCCCACTATGATCTGCCTGTTTCCAAATAGGTTCGTGACATCATGCCATGTCATTATGGACTGGTATTTGAGTGCTTAAGTTTGTTTTGTTGAAAGACGTCGTACCTCTCTTTTTCTCAACTTTTGAATTGTTGTTTGTTTCTATTCACGAGTTAATCTGTGAAAGTCATGTGCTGCCATAGACAGAGACATCTAAATGTTTAGAGGTCCTTTTGTTGTAATGACAAAGTAATAAATGTTTGTTGAACCAAAACATGCTCATAAATTATTTGCAACGAAATGTTTATTTTTTGGAACTCTATTTTCTAAATGAGAAATTGTTACGAACCTTGTTAAATAAAAGCCCAGAACTGAGGTGCGTGTAAAACAGCTATGAATATCACGCAACACTGGGCAAGTTTTCCCTCTTGTATGGCTCTTGTAAAGAACCGTTTTCTAGTAAGTTACAAAGGGCCCAGATGAATGGGGTACAAGCGAGGCCTCGGAGGTCCGTAATTGAAAGTGCACAAGGATCTAGCCGCGGTCTTTTGGGGCTTTCGTTGCTAATTTGTAGCAGCATTTTTCATCGAGCTCCTAATCCGCCATAATGCGGCTTTCTGCTCGTTTGTTGATGTTGTCAGTTCGAACCCCTGGTCCACTGCAGTGAATGTGAACGCAGTAAGCGGTCTGTGTGAGCTCTGCCACACACATTTAAAAGTCTGAAAAGCAATCTTATCAAAAGGCCCGTGTTTTGGGCTGTGCTTTCATGTCATCTGTGCTGTCTCAGAAAGAGAAGCAGCGGGACTCGCCCGGCTACAGAAAACAGGGCCCATTGGTCTTTTTCAGAGTTGTTGGACCACATGTTTCTTAACAGAAGGCCGCGTAAAAGCTTCTTTTATTTACCAGATCTCTGCGCAAACGGTTCAACTTGTTTGTGGGTGTTTTGACAGATGATTATTAAGAATGAAGTGTGGGAGGGCTCAGGCGCACTCTTTGAAACCAAAACCAGCAGCTCCATTGTCCAAACGCATTTCTCCTCGTGCCGTTGATAAATATAATAAGAATAATTTTCTTCTCAGCAGTGTTAATTGATATCCCACAAACTGTGTAATTTGCGGGGAGAACGAGGCTAAAAAAACGTTAACAGACTATTGAAGTTTATTCGGCACTGGGAGTTATTACGCACAGCATCACTCCATTAAAATCCACATGGAGCGTTTGGAGAGGTGGTTAGACACCCATTTAAGCGACTACAGGAACGTAAACTAATAAAAGGCATTATAATTGTACGCATGCTCTGCTTCGGCGCACGCTGGGAATTTGGCACGGTTTTACGCACCGCCATGGCTTTAAAATTACAAACTTAAGGGAATAGACATCTCGTCTTTAAACCACAAACGGTGCGCATTGACACACACACACGCACAGGCACACGCACGCACGCACACACACACACACACACACACGCACACGCACACGCACACACACACACACACACACACACACACACACACACACACACACACACACACACACACACACACACACACACACACACACACACACACACACACAGCCTAATCCTTTAATTTGATATCCAAATAGCTGATGCTGATTGCACTGACACGTTATAGACCGTGCTCTATACACTGCTGTCACTGGAAGACCACCCACAACTTTGAGCGCAAAAGCAGCGTTCTTATTTAAGAACAGGAACACTGTCATTGTACTTCATGACAACGCATCGTCTTGAAGAGGAACAAGTGTGCGGGCGATGAGAAGTGACAGCCAAATGACCCAACAGACGCAAAAGCACATTTATATTTTTAAAGGCATCTCTTTTTTTCAAAGCGCTTCCATATGTTATGCGCTTTAACATTGAGACCAAGCCACATGACATGAACCTCTAGTTTCTAAAACAATAGGCCATGTCAGTGCAGAGTGAAAATTCAATCAAATAACCTATTACTATTTTATTTATTTGTCTATATATGGGCAATATAGAGGCTATATATATTATTTCACCTGCCTGTTTTTTTCCTATAGCCTATATGTGTATTAATTTATTATTACTAATATTGTTGTTAAAAATCCTGAAAAGGACAAAGCATCAGTTGAAAACATCGGGTATATATAGGCCTAAATCACACAACCTGAATCTCTGGTTCTGGTTCTGGTTGATTAATCAGTAAACTGTAAATGGACACCATGTCGATGAAAAATGACAATTTGAATCTTGATACAATTCATAAACATATTTACATTTATGTGTATGTGCTATATTTTGAACATAATAAATAAATAAATAACAGGCTTATAATAATTATGTTTATCAAGCATAACACTTGTTGGTTTTATTTATTTATTAATTTCTTTATTCTAATTTACCACGGTGTTAGGTTATTTATCTATTAGCTTACTTTGCAACAAATTTGTTTTGATTTTAACATTTTAAACAAGCTTGTGTTATTTTATGAAAACAGTGACTTTCTACGAGCCTTCGTTCTTGGTGTGTTTTTGTTCGTCACAAAAATTCCTTACTTAATTAATTTAGAATGTGTAAATAAAACCTAGACAGTGAACTCCCCATCTTCTCTCAAAGCACAATATTAACTTTGGAAGATGTGCGGCCCACCGTGAGGCGAGCGCGCGCACTCCTTTGAGCCACCTGCTACAGCGCACAGCCTTCTGGCTTGGCTGTAAAGTTTGAAAACGGACACAAAGGGGAAATGATAGGCCTGGTGTGGTGTCTAGTGTTTTCAAGTTATGGCCTAAATAGGCTACAACATGAGACATTTAATTGGCTAAATCTAACAGCCAAATAGGACAGCCTTTAACCACAGTCACTGTTTAGCAGGACTAACACATCAACATTTTAAGAAACATGTCGGCTACAGGGAAAAAATACAGATGCATTGGGTTTACCAAGAGAGCAAACCCAAATGCGCGGAATCCTTTCAGCGCATGATCAGATGTCGTTATGTATTTATGAAAGTATTATTCTAAATTATAACCAATTTGTGCAGTTAACTCATATTGCCTTCAGGTAAAAAAAAAAAAAAAAAAAAAAAAAAAAAAGGTTTCGTATGGAGCACTTTCCCTGCGCTAAATTAACAAAACTTTACCCAGTCACATGTGCAAGATGCTGTATTACGCGCCTTTATTCTGACATAAAAAATGCTTAAGTTTTATTGCTCTAAGAACCATGGATCTTTAACTGATGAATGGAAAGTCTGGGCCGCTCTCCCAATTAATCCATGTGCAGCATCGCTATGGTCACTTGGTTGTTTAGGCCATGCTTGGGTCAAATTAACTCACGAGTGAAACCCAGCTCCGATTCTTGTGATATAGCCTAGGCCTTTGCCACAGACTCATGTGTAAACAATATACACGTCCAATATAGACCTTTATTTTAAGCAGCATGCCGATACTGTGTATTTTCAAAATGCACGAACCCCCTTACGATAAAAGTGAAGTTTACTATCCATACTGAAACGTGATCTCGCTGGGGTCGAGGGGGCAAACTTTTTAAGACTAATGTTTATTTAGAGACGCGAGCGCTTTCTATGGGACTCCCCCGATCCAACAAAATGCTGGCTAATGTGTTTAACAGGCCTAACTGGACCACCAACAACATATCTGTAAAGCCATGTGTGCCATGGGACAGACACACCAACATTACCGAGTCAACATTTTGCGTTTGATAAAATGGGTGACTAAACATCAAACATAAAAAGTCCATACAAATTATAGGTATGCGCAAAAATCGTAGGATGAGTTTTTTGCAGTGCAAATCCCCAGGGCCGGTGGAGCAGGAGCGTGTTTTCTTACAGTTTGTAAAATTGAATTAGATACGGTGGGGAATCTGACCTCTAGCCAGAGCCGCATATTTTTCACCCCTCAAGTTTTAGTGTTCCTTGGGTATTTTTATTTTTTCAGCTGGATCTGCCATTAGACATTGTGTCCACGCCGTGTCTATCTTTACCATCTCCCCTTCTCTGCTTCAACTGCCCCCTCCCTCCTCAAGATCCTTTAGTACGTAACTCTCTCCTCTGCTTCACCACTAACGGCGACGCTCAGGGACAGTGACAATGCTGCGGTGTTTCGACATGCGCAATGGGGTGTAGACCTATATAAGGAAGGAATAGGCCATGCTTATCTGAGAAAAAAAAAAGTCAAATCAAGCTAATATTGTTAGGGTATTTAAAGAGTATAAGAGACTATCCTACTAATTTATAGTTTCAGAGTTGCATCACAACCTTTGCATCTTCCATAAATTATAGCTGGTATACAATGATTTTCAAACTATGAAAAATTAAGTATTTATTTAACTAGTTCCTGGGTCTCACAAACAAATCACTGGTATTCACATGCAAAAATATTCGACTAGTAGCACAGGTTTAGAACAGTTTTTTCAGACAGAAAAGTGACAGAAGGTGGATCACCCTTCTACAGCATTCACCCCAAATCATCACATGGTGACTTCAGTGGCTGATGGTTCAAGTTTGTAATAAATAAAATGTTTTATAATTAGATGAAGACAACTTGTCCATCAGATTGTTGGCATAAAATACACATTTTTGAGGTAAAAGAATTGTTTACTCATTAATGAGAAAAAGGCTGGCTACTTCAGTTTTCAAGAAGCACTTCTTTCTTTCTTCTCAAGAGTGTGGCATTTGGGTGAGGCCAGTATCAAGTTACATGACAAGATATCTGAAATTGAAGAGATGGCACAGGCAGGAAAAGCATAGGTTGGGTCCTGTCCTTCTAGTGCAGAAACTCATCTGCCACACCTACCTCACCTGCCTCAGAACAAGAATATATGGAATTTGTGTGCTGTCTCTAGAAATAAATCCAAACACCTTAATTAAGAGCTTGATGAAGCAGATGTGGGTGAAGATATCCTTGTCTCACTAGGAATATGCTTCACTTTAAAAATGTAAGCTATAATAGTAAACAGGGGGCACACAAATATGGAACACCATACTGAGTTTCTATGTAAAATTTTCATAATAAAGCAGTATGCCATGTTTTACACTGACTGTGGCATTTCCCCAAATTCATGGTTTTATATTCTTAATTTTCATCAAACAATGTTTAGCTTTGCCAATGGCAGCAGTCAGGGTGAAGTCAGGTAAATTGCTCCAAATTACCATGACTACATCCAGCAGCTATACAATAACACTGAAATG